TGGAGGTAACAGTGATATTCAGGCTCATATGACCTTGCCACCCCCCCTCACATGCACACATGTGCACGCCCGCACACGTGTGCACACGTAGGAACATTGCTCCGCAGGGTGCGGGGTCAACTGTGTTACCGAAGCCCTGAGCTCTCCATCCCGGCTGACAGTTGGCCAAGGGAAGGACTGGCAGCAGCCGGTCCTCTCCGAGGTGGTGACAGAAAGGCAGGGGCACCTGCAGACCCATCTCCCCCGCCCAGACAGAAGTGTGATGCACCCCAGAGTCTCCCTCACGAGTCTACCTTAGGGCCAGATCTGGTTTTCAGGGCATACAGGGTCTACCGGGATTGGTGCTTCCTCTGGCCCTCTCCAGCTGCCACACACACATGTGGGGTCTACCTCCTAGAGTAACCCCTTTGTCCCACAACACACACTGTTCCTCAGGGCCCCTGACACACACAAAGACACAGACACAGAACTGCCCCCCGTAATTTATCCCCAGATAGGAAATCTGGCCACATAACCGGGACCTGCTCTGTAAAGAGAGTAACTCAGGGATGCCTGGGTGGCTCAGTGGATTAGGCATCTGCCTTCAGCCCAGGTCCTGATCCCGGGATCCTGGGATCAGCAGGGAGCCTGCTTCACTCTCGGCCTCTGCCTGCCACTTCCCCTGCTTGTATGCTCTTTCTCTCTCTCTCTCTCTCTCTCTCTCTGACAAATAAATAAAATCTTAAAAAAAAATTAATACAGTGAATGACTCAGAGCAAAAGGAGACTGTGAGGCCATTTGTCAACAAATTATTCAGAATTTCAGGAAAGTGATGGCAGAGCACTTGACCCAGCAAGCTAAGGGTCATTATGAGACTGGGGCCCTGTTGAATGGCTCAGACCCTCTGCTTCACCAGGGGGCTCCCCCATTGGCCCAGGAGAATGGGACAGAGCCAGGTGCATGTGGAGGGATCCGGAGGTCCGGGGGCCGGTACAGGTGGGAGAAGGGGGACCTGCGGCATGGATATGGTATCCAGGCCTTCCCACCACCCCCCAACTCATTCTCACTCACCTTGGAGAAGCCCATGGCTATTCAGGTCTCCAGGGGCTGTGACCTGGTGAGAGAGGAACAAGTGTATGCAGGAGTCTTCAGAGAAGCAGCCTCCCCACCACCCATGGAAAGTCTCTCTGGCTCCCTCCCCAGGCCCCAGCTCCCTCCCCAGGCCTCCACCGAGCCATCACCTTCTCACAGATTCTCCCAGCTGAGGTTTCTGAGGTTTCTGCTTCTGAGAAAGAGCCACTCTCTTAAGAAGAAGGAGGGAGGAGGGAGGAAGTTGGAGCCTGCCCTAAAGGCAGGATGTGGGGCTGTGTGTGTGTTTGACACAGAGACAGAAGCAAATGACAGGCAGGGAGACCCAAGGGCGTGAAAGGGGGTGGGTGGGCACAGCTCTAGCCTAAGCCCCTCCACACCCCGAGCTAGGGCAGGAATCTCAGAGCCTGGAAACAGGCCCCTTCCCCAATCTCATCAGCCTGGGATGAGGGAGGGGCAGTGGGAAAGTCCAGACTTGGGAAAGCACACAGAGATGTTCTCTGAGCTCTGGAAAATGAAGTCATCCAGTTGGGAGGTTAAGGTCCTGAGGAATGCTGGCCAGGTCACACGGAGTGGAGTGGATCCCAGCACCAAAGTCCAGAGAAGGTTCCAAGAACCTCCCGGCCCAGGGGTAGCAGGACCTGCTGGACCCCTGGGGTGGGCCCACCAGGCAGGGCACCCATGGGGTGCGCTGCAGGGATGGCTGGAGCTGATGCCCAGCTGCCAGGGGGCAGGGTGAAGCCCTCAGGAGAGGCTGAACGTGCCTTGCTGTCAGCCTAGGCCCGGATGACCAGGCGATCCTGAGCTCTCCTGGGGCCGAGGGATGTCATGGTCCTGCTGCCCTCAGGCACCTGAGTGTGGCGGGGCAGAGGGGGGACCTCCCAGGCGCCAGGCAGTCCTCGCACGCATGGCTTACCCCCAGCTCCCCCTGCAACCCCGCTCTGGCGCCAAAGCCCCTCCCAGTTCAGCACAGCCTCTGTCTTTCCGCTGTATGGGCGCCCGGGGCTCACACAAAAAAGTACTCAAGCCAAGGGTGCTTAAACTGCAGAAATGTTATCATCTCCCACTTCTGCAGGCCCCGCCAGGACTGGCTCACAAAAACCACCATCTGCAGCCATTTTGTGTTTCGTTGCGGACTGTGCCATTTTCTTTATGGTTTTAGTGAGAAAGAATTCACATACAATTCACCCATCCAAATGTATGATTTTCATCACCTCAAGGAGAAATCCCATACCCCTTAGCCAGAACCCCCAGATCCCAAAACCCCACCCCCACCAGTCCCAGGCAACCCCTCATCTACTATCTGTCTCCAGATTGCCCCCATTCTGGACATTTCATATAAATGGAGTCACATGGAAATGGTCACACTACGTGACCTTTGTGTCCAGCTCCCTGCACGCAGCAGTGTTTTCAATCCATGTTGGTGGCGACATGTATGAGAACTTCATTCCTGGGACGCTTGGGGGGCTCAGTCGGTTAAGCCTCTGCCTTCTGCTCGGGTCATGATCCCGGGGTCGTGGGATCGAGTCCCGCATCGGGCTCCCTGATTATCGGGAAGCCTGCTTCTCCCTCTCCCTCAGCTGCACTCGCGCTCGCTCTCTCTCAAACAAACAAATAAAATCTTACAAAAAAAGAACTTCACTCCTTTTTATGGCTGAATAATATTCCGTCGCAGGAGTCTGCCACCTTACATAGCCGTTCCCCTGCGGATGGGACATTCGGGTTGTTTCTACCTTTTGGCCATTATGAATCCTGTCTTTCGTGAGCACATGTGTGCAGGTTTCTGTAGACAGGTTTTTCCTTCTCTTGGGTAGACACTTAGGAGAGGAATGTCTGACTCATGGTAACTGTTTCAAAGTTACTGCACCGTTTTATATCCCAGCAGCAGCAGGAGAGGGTTCCAGTCCCTCCAGCACTTACGATGATGTTGTTTTGAGTTCAGCCACCGAAGTGGGTGTGAAATAGCCCCCCCGCCGTGTGGTCTGCAGTTGCTTTCCCCTTAGGACGAGTGACCTAGAGCAGCTCTCAGGTGCTTGCTGACCACTGGGGCATCTTCCTTGGAGGAGTGTCTATTCTGATTCTCTGCCCCTTTTTAAACGGGGTTATTACCCTTCTTGCAATGACATTGTATTTAAGAGTATGTTATATATTCCGGATACAAGTCTCTTCTCACATATATCCTTTGCAAATGTGGTCTCCCATTTTGTGGGTGGTCTTTTCATTCCTTATGGTGTCCTTTGAAGCACAGATGGGACCATGCCATTAAAAAATAAATAAAACTAATAATTTGGGGGCGCCTGGGTGGCTCAGTGGGTTAAAGCCTCTGCCTTCGGCTCAGGTCATGATCTCAGGGTCCTGGGATCGAGCCCCGCATCGGGCTCTCTGCTCAGCAGGGAGTCTGCTTCCTCTTCTCTCTCTCTGCCTGCCTCTCTGCCTACTTGTGATTTCTGTCAAATAAATAAAATCTTAAAAAAAAACCCTAATAACTTGATGTGACATTTTCCTGAAGTATACTTAATATATTTTTAAAAGCTAGAGAAGTTTCCACGGAGCAATGATAGCACAGATTTCACCTTGGACACTGGTCCTCTGAGCTCCCTGGCCGACTTTTAGGTTCCCCTCTCTGCTTTCTTCTCCCACTCATTCTCTCTCCATCTGCTGCCCCACTGCCCATCAACTCTGAACCCCACCTTCGTCTACAAAACAGAGTGAGATTCAGGTCTATCAAGCTCTTGTGGCCAAACTCATGCCAGGTCCATCTGTGCTCAGAAGCAATGAGGGGCTTTCATTTTCTTTGTCCTCCTGTACGGGGGCTCGTAAGATTTTAAAATACAAGTTTCCTCCTCCACCTATTTTGAAAGGATCCTGACAGGGGCCCGGACTTCTGGATTTCCGGCAGCTTAGGATCCAGGTCATGGACTGGTTGAAGACCTCTGGTTGTTGCCCTCCTACTGGTCCGCTTGTTGCAGCCCACCACCACCCGACCCCCTCCCCCGACTGACTGACAGGCAGGCAACCTCCCTGCATTCTGGGACTTCCGCCCTCAGCCCCCACCCCAGGCAGCCCTGTGGGCTGGAGGGCAACCCAAGAAATGGTGCCTAAGTGCCCCCACACATAGACCAGGGCCATCAATCTGACTCTACTGGGAATGTCAAGCGCTTGGCCCCTAGGAGGGAGAACATGGCAGAGACACAGGAAAACCACAGGACAGGGTTCCCAGCTGCTGTCCCAGCTCCCTTGCCCACCCCCAAGCTTACTCAAATGCAGACTTTTGCCCCCACCCCATTCAAGGTGAGGGTGTGAGGTCTGCAAGTTTGTTTTTGTTCGTTTGTTTCATTCATGTTTTTTGAGGTCTGCGTTTTTTGGTTGTTGGGGTTTTTTTTGAGGTCTGCGTTTTTAAGTTCCCTAGGTGATTCGGATGTAGAATATTCCAGAAGTATAGCTCCAGAGGCACTGATTTAGATCCTGAGTTCTGCGGGGAGTTGTGGCGGGGGTGAGTGAGGTGGCCCACCCACTATCACCCAGAGGTGCTGAGGAAGCAGTGCCCTGGACTGGGGAGAGCTAAGCCCACCCTGCACAGAGCTGAGGAGAATCCCAGAGTTCTCCTTGAGGGAAGCGGCAGACACTCCGGTGTGGAGGCACGGAGGGGATTTGTAGGGCTAGGAGGGTGTTCTGTTGAGCGGGGACAGTACTGGGTACAGAGTGGTGACCAGAAAGCAGGTGCATGGGGCTTAGGTTGTGGAGGGTCGCCTGGGTGGCCACTGATGTCACCCAAGATACACCCACGTGTGCTCAGGGGTAGCTTCAGGGCTGGGTCTGGGGTCTCCAACCCTGTGGCATTGACCAGTGTCTTGGAAGCGGGACAGAGTGGGACATTCCTGGGAAACTCTGAGCAGCGGGTGGAGACAGAGGCAGGGGTTCAGTTTCCCAGTCAGGCCGTTCCTCCAAAGCCCGAACAGCCCAGAGCTGCTCCTGAGAGCCACTGTCGCCCTGGAGGGGGTGGTTAAGGCTTCCCTCCGCGGCAGCTGCGCTCTAAGAAACACCAGCTATTCAGGGAAAAGGAGCGTCCGCTGGGAGGACAGCGCACTGGTACCCCTGCAACCGCGCAGGTGGGGCAGGGGAGGCGACGCGGTACACCTGACCTGCCCAGTCTAAGCGCCAGCTCTTTCTCCCCCGTCTCCAAGGCTTAGCTCCAACCACATGCTCCCAGCTGCCTCCCGCAGAGTCCCGCCCCTGGGAAGAGAGGATGCACCTCCGCAGGGACTCAGGACCACCCCCCAAACACACACACAGACCCTCAGTGGGAGACCGGTCCCCCTTAAGGGGAGGCGACGCCCCCCACCAGCAGGGCCAGAAGGGACAGCAGGAAGGACAGCGACGGCCTCCCTGAGGCCTCATTGATTTCGCAAGAGCAATCGCAGGTCCCGGGTTCCAGGGTCGCTTTGGGGGGCCTGGGGGAATGTGGACCGGCGCTGGGGGCCGGGCAGTCCAGCCACTTGGGGCCCATGGGCTGGGGGGAGTCAGGCTCGGCCTTGACGCTGCCCTTGGGAAAGCGCCAGTAGTGGGCGCCCTTGAAGAAGTAGGTGTCACCTGCACGGGAGAGAGGAGACACTTCGGGGCCGGTCCAGGCTGCTTCTCCCACGGCGCCGCGTCTCTCCCGAGAGCTCTCGGAAAACCCCGGGATGACCCCTCTCCCCGTGCCCAGGGCCTCCAGCCCCTCCCAGCACCCTCTCCCACCTGCGTTGCTGACGCTGACATCGTCCGGGGCGTGAGGCGCCCCTTCCCAAAGACTCAGGTCGCGGGGGTAGCCGGGGTCTGGGCGCGCCGCCGCCTCGTCGTAGCGCCAGTAGCGCCCGCCCCGGATCAGGTAGGTCTTCCCGTTCAGCGGCCACGAGAACACGGCGTCCACCTCCTCTCCCGCCGGCAGCCCCAGCTCGGTGAGCGGCCGCGGGGCGCCCTCCAGCTGCCGGTCCTGGAACACCCAGAACTGGGGGCCTGCGGGGCGGGGGCGGGGAGGGCCGCTCAGGTGAGCAGGTGCGCCCCCGCCCCCATCCCGCGCGGGCCCCAGCGCTGTCCCGGCCCCCACTCACCGCTGAACAGCAGGATGCGGCCGTCGGGATGCCGGGCGTAGGCGGCCTGGATGACCTTCACCTCCACCGGCAGCCCCTCCCAGAAGCGGTGGAGCCGCGCGGGCCGGGGGGACACCAGCTGGCCCGAGGGCTGCAGGCGCCAGAACCAGGGGCCTGTGGTGGGAAAGGGGCGGGCGTGGGGGCATGAGACGGCAACAGATCTCCCTCCCGGCGCGTGGCTCGGGTACAGTGGCCTTGCTTTGTGGTTTTAGCCTTTAAAGTGCTGCATCCTGGGGGGAAAAAAACCAACTCTGTGGGGTCGGGAGATCCGGAGTGACTGACTCACCTTTGAAGAAGAATATCTCACCACGGATGTTAGCAATGGCGTCGAAATTGCCGTCACATCGGTCGGGGACGGGAAGAGAGGGGCTAGGGAGGAAAGGAGACGTGAGCTGAGAGGGGCCGGGGCTCCTGGTCTATTGGCTTAACTGTTAGGACAGTCCTATGGGTTAGGGACGCTCACTATGCCCATCTCACCAAGGACCACCCTGAGGTTAGGGACTTCACCCCGGGTGGTGCAGCTGGAGGGGACTCACCTGTCGGGGGGCAGGGCAGGGGGCGGGGGAGCAGGGGCCAGGGGTTTCCTTGTGGGCTTATCGTAGGGGGTTTCGGGCACCTTCCCTGTGGAGAGAAAGTCAGCAAGGCCTGAGTTGCCTGCCTTGCTGCAGCGGAGGCCGCGGGCAGAGCACTCCTCTCCTGCCCCCATACCGTAGAGCTGCTGCAGGCCTTCGCGGTCATCCTGGGACAGGCGGTACTTGTGGGGTTCGCCAACCGGGCCCTGGTAGAAGGGCCTCATAATCGAGTTGGGTGCTGAGGAGTGGCCCAGGCCCAGGGCGTGGCCAAACTCATGGACAGCCACAGCGAACAGGTCAGTCCCCTCGCCATCTGGGGAAGGAGGGAACTTGGACTAGACCTGTGCCCCTCCCCCACACCGGGAAGGGAGGCAGTCTGGAAGCCCCTGGGTGGGGCCTGCCTGGCAGAGAGGAGCAACCAGGAGACCCTCCAGAGATGGCTGTCCCCAGACCCTTCCGCGAGCCATTTTGTCCTTCTTGTGTGCGTTCACTTATTTGGTAGATTTTTTTTTTTAGTAGCCTTATTTGGCAGTTCTGGAAACTTGGGTACCAGGCTGAAGAGACCCACTGAAGAGGTTAGGAGGAGACAGTCTAGACAGAGGAAGCCGGCCCTCAGGCAGGGAAGCCTGTCCATAAGGAACACTCTGACGGAAACAGGAACATAGGGATGCATTTCTCTCTCTCTCTCTCTCTCTCTCTCTCTCTCAGAAGCCCCAGTCCCTGGAGTTTCCCTCCTCTCGGCTTGTCTGTGGTCAGAACTCCCCTCCCATGGTCTCCTCAGCCTCTGTCCCCAAGACCTTCACTCCGCTCCCACCCTCATGGCACTCCCCCTCTTCCCATGCGCACCCCTCCAGCGCCCCCACCCCTCAGTCCTCTGTCACCCTCCCCCATCTCCCCCTTCCCACAGCCTCCACCCTTCCCCTGCCTCCCCAGGGTCCCGGCTGCCTTCCTGCCTCTACAGTCCATCCACCTCCTCCGGCAGGCACTCTCAGACCACAGCCTGCTGGCCCTGGCAGCCAGCCTCGTACCCAGCCTCTCTGACCACAGCCTCTTCCTTGGGGACCAGCCTGGGCGCCAGGATGAGCCTCTTTACGCTCCCAGTTGCTGGCCAAATCCCAGCTCCTCATCGATCCACGGGCCAGCTCCTGCTCCTGCTGCTGAGAGGCCAAGAGACCACGACAGCAAGATGGCAAGAGAGGCAAGCAGCCACCCAAGGAGGCACGATGTCCACAGATGCTGATCTACTGCATGCAAATCTCTAACTCGGGCCAGTGCTGCTGAAAGTGGGTTTATTGGAAGGGACCTGGTGATCCGAAAAGCAAATTTCTCTCAACCCCTAAGGGCTTCTGGATGAGAGTATAAGAAAGAAATGGGTGAGCAAGTCTTAAGAAGAGCAGTGAGTACTTGTCCACATTTTCCTCTCATAAAACCCCTTCTTCCTGTCCTCATTTGATGGGTGGGAAACTGAGGCACAGGGAGGTCAAGTCCAATGACGGTATAGCCAAGTCCTCTGCCTACATCGTGCTGCCTTTCAGCAGTGACTTCAGATGGTCTGGGTCAAACTGCACAGGTACTGAAGGATTTTGTTGGCTGTGGGTTTTCTTATTGCCCTGGAGCCTTTTTCTGAGAAACAGGAGGAAGTTTGGTGTCCACATCAAGTAGATGTCCTTCTTCCCTCACCTCACCCCTCCTATCCCTGCTTTGCCTCTCCTTTGGCCACACCCTTCCTTGCATCTTCCCCTGCTTTGCAGCTGGGGGAAGACACACCACTGCAGCCCCAGCCATGAGATCCCAGGTGCCCTTTCTTCGGGGTCCTCGACACCTCCGCTTAGCTCTCCTCTAGACCTCAATGGACAGCTCCTCTTTGCTCTCCACTAGCCTGAATGCCAGGCACATGGCCCCTCAGGCTGCACCCTAGCTCTGGCCCCCAACTCTTAGGTGACAAATGCTGACAAATGTGTTTCCTATTTCATCAAGACAGGCCATCCGATGTAATCTGTAACTTCCTGTGTGCCTGGGCAGACAGCTCCACCTCCCCCACGCTCACCTCCTGCCCTGCCCTGTCCTATGCAAGGACCTCACTTCACTTACCTCCAAAAGGATAAGGACAATGCCCCACCCATCCCTCCATCCATCCCTGCATCCATGTGTCTAAGGATGTCTATGTCTATCCATCCTTCCATTCATGCATGCATCCATCCATCCACCTGTCCATACATCCATCCACCCATCCATTTGTCCATCCATCCATCCATCAATCTATCCATCCATCCATCCACTTGTCCATCCATCCATCCTTCCATTCATGCATGCATGCATGCATTCATCCATCCACCTGTCCATCCATCCATCCATCCATCCACTGTCCATCCATCCATCAATCTATCCATCCACCCATCCACTTGTCCATCCATCCATCCTTCCATTCATGCATGCATGCATCCATCCATCCACCTATCCATCCATCCATCCATCAATCTATCCATCCATCCATCCACTTGTCCATCCCATCAATGTATCCATCCATCCATCCATCCATCCACCTGTCCATCCATCCATCCATCCACTTGTCCATCCATCCATCAATCTATCCATCTATCCATCCACTTGTCCATCCATCCATCAATCTATCCATCCATCCATCCACTTGTCCATCCATCCATTCATCAATCCATCCATCCATCCATCCATCCATCCATCCACTTGTCCATCCATCCATCCATCTATCCATCCATCCACCTATCCATCCATCGATCTATCTATGCATGAATCCATTCATCCATTCCCCATCTCTTTCTTTCTGTTGGCTCACCCAGCATCACGAAGTGCTCAAGTCTCCCTCATCCTAAGCCACCCCAGTACCTATCTGCCCACCTCCACCCCCCTGACCTTCCCTAGCAAGTTCTGTGGTCAGTGGTCTAAACTCAGTCTTCACTTCCTCAGCCCCTCTCACGCCTCACTTCACGCTGGTCAGGACTCCTCCCCCACCCGCCAAGTCTGTAGGCCCCAAGGTCACTTTGTCCATAGATGATCAAATCCAGGCCCATGTAACATACTGGCCTGGTTGCTGCCCTGCCCACTGCTGCCTGAGTCCTTCGTCACTCTCATTCCTGGTCACCTGTGGACATGTTCTTTCTGCATTTCCCTTGGTTCCTCCTCTCTTTCTCTCCTCCCCTTCACTGTGGGGCTCTCCACAGCTCTGTGCTTGACCTTCACGTCCTACACTCCCCTCCCGGAACCTTACCAACCTCTGAATGCCACCGGACCAGCTCATAGCAGCTGGCCACGAGTGGAGTGCTACTGTGTGCAGGGCTCGTGCTGACAGCTATAGGGGAATTACAAGCCCACCTGCCAGCAGGCACTATTATAATCCCCATTTCTCAGATGACGAAACTGAGCCCTGACCGGAGTTCGCTTCTAGCCAGTGTGCTTAAATGCTGCGTTATACAACCTCACTTCTGTGGATGCTATGGGTACCTCGTCCAAGTCAGACCCTGTGTGTCCCTCTCCTGGATGCCCCCTCCCCCGGAAAATGGCTTTCCCTCCTGCCAGCCTTCCTGCCATGGCTCACAGCCAACGGAACGGCAGCTTGCAGAGTGACTAGAAGACCTGGACCCCTGGCCTCCAGGCGGGACCAGCAATATGGGTCAGGCTGCTCTCAGCTGAGACCGCATCCTGACTTAGCTGCTTTCCCCAGCCCGCTTTTATTTCCCTTTCCCCCGAGAACATACCCTGAGAAACTGCTTGCACAAGAACTTTCATCTTGAGCTGTGCTAAAGGGGAACCTGACCCAAGTCTGAGAAGTCCCAGTTCTAGAGCAAGACACTTGACCATGAAAGCATCGCCCACATTGAATAGCCCACAAGGGCAGCCAACACGCAGCCAACCTGAACTCCCCTCTGCCTTCTGAGAGCCTGCCCTTCCTCCTCCAGGGTCCCCTGAACCATCACCCCTTCCTCCCACCCCCTCTGCCACCAGGGTTCAGTTAGACCCCACTCTTTGCCCGTCCCGACTCAACTGTCCTCTGACTCCCATCACCATCTTTTCTGGACCCTGCAGCCAGGGGCGTTTCCAGAATGCCAGACCTCCCATGGCTCCCATTCCCTTCCCCCATCCTCCCCATTCTGTCCCTGTGCTTCCAAGACCCTCTGTGTTATGAGACACACCATCCATCCGTCCTCTACAGCCTGCCTCCCAACACCGTATTTCAAACTCCCAGCCCCAGATGGCCCCCTGTGCCCCTCCCCCTGGCGACCTGGACTCAGCGAGCTCACTGACTTGCTCTTTTCTCTGCATCCTCCCCGTAGCCCCCCACACCCTGGGGGAACAGGACCTCATGTGCTAGTTGGCCCTCAGTATACATATGCGGGATGAACAAAGTCACCACTTCTAGGAAGCCCTGTCAGTCAAAGGCTTTGGGTAGGCCTCTCTTCTGAGCACTGGAGGCTAGAGGACTTCCTCTGCTAGGATTCCCCCAAGTTGCATCATCGTGTGTAGCAACTGCCGGTTACTATTCTGACTCAGCTGCTGGAAGGAGCTGTTTTCATCTCTTTAAGTCCGCAGCTCAGGGCTGGGACGCCTGAGAGGCCTCGGTGATGGGTAATTTTCCGTGTCAACTTAGCCAGACTAGGGTGCCCAGTGGTTTAGTCAAACACCAATGTAGATGCTGTCATGTAGGTTATTTTGTAGACGTGATTAACATCTACAATCAGTGGACTGTAAGTAAAGCAGATTGTGGGCCATGGTGGGTGGGCCTCGTCTAAGCAGTTGAAGGCCCTAAGACCAAAACCTGAGGTTTCCCAGAGAGAAAGGAATTCTGCCTCCAGATTGCAACACAGAAATCACACCTGGGCTTCCAGCCACCTGGCTTGCTCTGAGGATATCAGACCCAGGACTGCAGCACTAACTCTCACTTGAATTCCCAGTCTTGCGTGCCTGTCCTACAGATTTTGGATTTGCCGGCCTCCACAATGCCGTGAGCCAATTCCTTGAAATAAATCACTGTCCACGCACACACACACAACCTACTGGTTCTGTTTCTCTGGAGAAGCCCAACCGCTATAGTCTCCATCAATACATGTGATTGAAACCGAATTCTTAAAGACAGACCTGGGGAGAGGATGTCTCAGAATAGGGAGATCATACCTTTTGAGCCGTAAGTCCAGGTTTCCTCATCATCAAAATGAGTGTCACCAGAGATGGGATGCTCCCCGGGGAAGAAGGCGTGGGCGAGGGTACCTCCCTGCCCGTCGAAGGGATAACTGTCCTGGTGATATGCCCGGGCGAAGTCGATGAGGATGTCGGGCTCTGTTGGGTCCTGAGAAACCAGCTCCTGGAATCTGAGGCCTGACTCAATGCCCCAGGTGCTCAGGGCATGGTGCATGAGGGTCCGCACTGTCTCCGAGGTCAGAGCTGAGTTCTGGGGGAAGGAGCGAACCCTGGGGAGACAGAAGGCAGCTGTTCCACACCGGGCCCAGCAGGCAGGCGGGCGGGGTGCGTCCCGGGACCTACCTCCATGTTAGGGTTCGCTTCTCCCACTTGCTGTTGCTCAGAGCGTATCGGCGCCGGCGCCGGCGGCGCCTGACCAGCTCGGCCACCCCCAGCACATCGGGCAGGGAGCAGCGGGGCCTCTGCATGGTGGCCACCGTCACGCGGTCTGGGAGAGAGGGTGTGGGGGGAAGGGGATCAGCAGTAGGACAACCTGCTCTACCCCGTTGTCTACCTGGTAGCTATCAGCTAACTTCCTACACGGACACACTGAGGCTTGGAGACGTTAAACAACTTGCCCAGGAAGCCCCATGGCTTGGATGTGAGCACGGGCTCTCCAAGTCTGGTAGACAGCTCAGGTCAAATTAGGACTCTGCTCTTCAGGGCAGTGTCACCCTCTTTACTGAGCCCTGGACGGACTGGCTGCCTCCATGTGGTGATCAGATCTGGGATCTGGGGCTCCTGCTTCCCTGGGCCCCGGTGCCTGGACTCTGGAGAAAGGAGCCCCGGGGCTGCTTGAGGATTCCTCTCATCGAGGCCGGAGCCCCTTGGAACATTGCTCATCCGTACCTCACACTCTAGGTCCCTATCCTCACCACACATCCTAAAGTCCAAAGCCCCCAGGTTTTGGGGTCTCCCCAGATTAGATCTCCCAGTCTCCCAGATTAGATCTGCCTGGAATCCCCTTTCCTAGCTCAGCTCCCTTCCCAGCTGTCCCCCCATCTTCAAATGAAGATCAAACCTCACCTCATTGGTTGAGGTGACAAAAAGTATCCAGTGGACAGGACAGAGAAAGGTCCTACCTCCCTTGTAGCTCGCCAGCATCCCCCAAGTTCTCTCTTCCCCACTCAGCGCTACCTCCAAAATATGTACCCTGGATTCAATTGCCTCCTTCCTGGTCTCCACTCCCACCCTCCAGTCTCCATCAGCAAGCAGAGGAAGCTTCAACTGTAAAGCCAATCCAATGGCCTCCCTCCTTCAAACCCTCCAGTGGTTTATCATGCTTGTAATCAATCCCAAACACCTTTCAACCATCGCCCCCCCCTCCAATTCCCAGTCAGGTTCTTGCTTAATTTTTTAATCCTCTTCTCGTCACAGGTACACCAGTTTGAGCCTACCACAGGGTCTTTGCACTTCCACCAGGACACTCTTCTCCCACATCTTCCCATGGCTGGCTCCTTCTACTTGCATCTTATGAGTTCTTTATGTCATGTGAGCTCCTCTCACCCCATGACACCTTCCAGAGTGATCTGCCCTGACTAGCATTTTATCTTCTTCAAAACACAAATAACTAACTGAAATTATCTCGCATATGTTTGTTCTCGAACTGTATGTGTGAGTCCCATGAGAGCAGGGACCTTTTCTGCTTTGTTCATCACTGCACCAGCAGAGCCTGAAATGGCCTTACACGTAAGAGATTCTTAGTAAATACTTATTGAAAAAGGAATGCCTGAGAATCTCATGGGTTTGGCCCCAAGACCAGCGTTTCGTAGATCCTGTGATTCAGGTGCACGCTGAGGTTTAGCTACTGCTGGCTAATGGTCAGGCTGGGTGCAGAGGCAGGGCTGGGGAGGGGTGGGGGTCCACCTACCCAGGATGCCTGTCTCAGGTAGGCCAGCAAACCTCTGCATGACCTTGATAGCATCCCTCAGCTTTGCAGGGCTCTGCAGCTGGGCTTGGGCAGGGTGGGGTGGTGGCAGATAGCCATAGCGAGTCAGCCAGTCCTAGACCAAAGGAGGGAACAGGTGAAGCGGAGTGAGTGGGAGAGACACCCCCTTCCTACCACCATTCTGGAAGCCCCCCCGCCTTGCCCCACATCCGGGCATCCGGAGCACAGGGGGGCCCAGCTGTCCCCAGGTGACCGCCTGTTGTCTATCTCAAAGCCCAAGCTCTCCAGCCCTGGGTTGTGTCCGCCCCAACAGTCCTGTCCTCCACCTCCCCATCCCTACCCCTCAACAGATCTTCAAATCCCAGCCCCCTAACAGATGGGGCCAAGAATCTGGGTTCCCCAGACCCCATCCCCAGTCACTCTCTGGCAACTGAATCAGCCCCCAGCCTCGTCCGGACCCCACCCCCACCCCGAAGATCCCAGGAACGTGAAGACCCCCCGCACTCACCACTCCCAGGCTCACGTCCTGCGCGGAGGGCTCCAGGGCGCTCACCGGCGACGGAGGCAGCAGCGGGAGCAGCAGCGCCAGGAGCCCAAGCATGCCCGCGGGGCTCGAGGGGGTCTGCCCAGGGCCGCTCTGGGGACCTACGCGAGGGGGTCTGGGGCCCGGAGAGGCTCGGGGAACCCCGCGCGAGGTAGGAGGGGTGGGCCGGAGCTCCGGAGGCCGCGCTGCGCGCCCGGGGTTCCTGGGAGGCACGACTCGAGGTACCCGGAGACGTCCCGCGGGGGGCCCAGGTGGGCCGGGTGGCCGCGGGTCCCGGGAGGGTGGAGAAGGCGCGAGAGGAGGCGGAGGTGCAGGCTCCGGGTGCGCGGCCGCGGCCTCTGGGTCCTCGGCCGGCTCCGCAGGACCCCGCGCTGCGCGGGCGGCCCCTCCCTCCGGGCGGGGCAGGGCGGCCGCAGCCGTTGAGCGGTAGCGACCCGGCGAGGCCAGTGGCCCAGCCTTTAGACGCCCAGCGAGCAGGGGGGAGCCGGCTTCTTGGACCGCGGGCGGCGCGGGTGAGGGGCGGCGAGGAACCCCCGCCGAGCGCCCCCGCCTCCCGTCCCTGGCCGCGCCCGCAAGTTTCTCTTCCCAGAATCCGGCTCCCCCGGGACTCTCCGCCGCACGGCTTGTTTCTGCTTTCTCCACCGCGCGCAGCCGGCCGGGTGAGGGGAGACTCCGGGGCGCCCCTCCCCACGCCGCCCCTGCCGGAGACCCCGAGGCCCGCCGCCAGAGGCTGGGACGCTTCCACTCTCCGCGGGGTCCAGGGCCCGCTACCCGCCTGGCTCCGCTGGCGCCCCGGCGTGTCCGCTGCCGCTGCCGGGGCTCGGCGCCTTCACTCCCCGAGCCCCGTGGGCTGTGCGGGGGCTCTGCGTCCGCGGGCCGGGGTCCGGGCCTCCCGGAGACGGCGCCCCCTCCCGCTGGTGTTAGCCGTGCAAGAGCCGGTGCCCCGCGCGCAGAGGCTGGAGCTGCAGCCCAGGGCGGGACGCGCAGCGCGGAGGAGGGGGTGAACCGGAGCGGATCCGACAGAGACCTGGGGACCCGCAGAGCCACGCCTCACCCCCGCCGGGGAAGCCCAGGGCTACAAGGCGGTGCCGCAGGAGACGGATGGGGAGGAATGGGGCGGGGGAGGGGACTTCCCGGCGAGGGCCGAAGGGCGTGCGGGTCCCACCGCTCTGTCTCTGCAGCAGGGCAGCGATGGGCGCCCTGTGGCTTAAATAAAATAAATAACGAGCAGGATGAGCGAGCTCCAGATACAAACTAAAACACAGAAATCCTGTATGCGTCCCCGCCAGCTGCGCTAACAAACCACCGCGGACCGGGTGCCGGAAACAACACGAATTTATTTCTGGAGGCTGGACGGCCAAGACCCAGGTGCCGGCAAGGTCTGATCTTCCGGCCAGTTCAGTCCCTCCGCTGGGCTTGCAGGTGGCTGCCCGGGGCTCGTGCCCACCTGGTCTTCCCTCTGCGCCCGGCAGCCCTGGCCCACATCTCCTCTCACCGCTAAGGGCACAGTCAGGCCACCCTCACGGCCTCGTTTTGCCTTCGTCGCCTCTGGAAAGGGCCTGCCTCTCAGAACAGTCACAGGCTGAGGTCCTAGGGATGAGGACCTCAACACCGCGGCTGGGGGTGGGGTGGGGTAAGAACACAGCACAGTCCGTGGTCAATCCCAAGTGCAACGAAAGCCTGCACTTCCCCTTCCCAGCTTCTCCTTGACCCTCCAACTCCTACCCCACTCAGGAGGCTTCCTGACACCAACTGTGTGTTGGGTTTTCCCCAAAGCAAAACATTATTTGGGACAGGGGCTGAGTGATTCCTGTTCCTGTGGTGCTGGATGTTACCACCCAGAAACCTTCCAAAGCCCAAACTTTGGAGAGTTTTATGGAGGCTTGTCACATAGGCACGCTCAACTAATAATTCAATCTCTGGTCCCTCTTCCCTCCCTGGGTGATGGGAGATGGGGCTGAATTTCCAGGCTTCCAGTCGTGGGTTGCTCATTTAGCCTCTGTCCAGGAGCTCTCCGGGAGTCACCTCCTTAGAATAAGACACTCCCATCCCCCAGGAAATTCCAAGGGACTTAGGAGCCCAGTGTCCGGAACTGGGGTCAAAGAGCAAATGTTAGAACAGAAGATGATTTTAGTGCTCTTACCTTTTAGGAAATTACAGGAGATTTAAGACCTCTGTGCTAAGACCCATATATGTATTTTCTTCTGTTATTTATCTCTCTCTCTCTCTCTCTCTCTCACACACACACACACACACACACGCCCCTAGTCTCTGGCCACACGACCCCTTGCAGCAAAATGATAGTACGGCACATTACTAGTATCCCATCCAGTTCTTGGGAACCATTCCAGTCCATCGTTCTCTTGCATGAAAACATCTCTCAGGGTGAGGCCGGTCACCGGGTTTGAAGTCCTCTCCTCGATCTGGTCAGGGTGCAGAAGCAGGAGTGCTCTCAGCACATGCATGGTTTTGCTTCGCCCTTATGGACATCCAGTATAATCGAGCTAAGACGACAACAGCATCTCTTGCTCGGAGCCTCCTTGGAGGGGTTCCTGGGGCGCTGGATTTCCCTTACGACATAACTCATTTAGTCATTACTTTATATCCCCACCCCGTTTTAGACAACCAATGCTTTAATTGCCTCTCCCAATTCTCTACCAAACCAGTCTCCGAGGAGGATATCTCTTTGCCCGCTGTGGGACATTACCGGCTGGCAGTGGTGGTTCTTGGTCTGAAGAAATGTTGGTCTCCGTTCTGGTTAGTTTCTGGCTCTCTGAGCACGTCCATCCACCTCTGGCTCAGCAAAGCCCGGTCCGGAGTCGGTGTCTCTTCCTGTGGGGACCCATCTGCCGCCTCCAGAATGACCACGGGCATCCCTGTGACGATGTGTCAGCACGTTCTGTAGTTCTGTAGCCTCTGTCCCTTCAGCAGGCAGAGGAACAGTTCCTACTGCCATTTCCCATCCTAGAAGCCATGGGGGGAGTGAGTGTCGATTCTGCCCCCCAGGCCCCCCCACATCCACTCATTCTGTGGACCCGGGCGGCCACGTTAGGTGAGTGCATGGGGATATCTGATTGTGGATTCCAGTCACCTTCCAAACCTGGAAGGGGGCTCTTCTGATGGGCTTCAACACACCCTACTTTCTTTAATGCACCCTGCAAATTCCCACAGTGATTTCCACGGGAGCGAGCCCCAGCTGGGCACCTCTGTAGTCAGCCGGGTTGCCACTGTCCTCCCGCCTGTGTGTCAGTAGAAACCAAAACATAAGGACTTTTTAACCCTGCTCAAGTCTTCCTTCACAGCTGGAAAAACAGCCCGCAATTCAGCCCACCGGACTGACTTGTTCATACCTTCCTTGATCAGAGTGGCCATCTTCCGAACAGGATGCTGTCAGTTCCCTTCAGAATGGCCATCCATGGGGCGCCTGGGTGGCTCAGTGGGTTAAGCCGCTGCCTTCGGCTCAGGTCATGATCTCAGGTTCCTGGGATCGAGTCCCGCATCGGGCTCTCTGCTCAGCAGGGAGCCTGCTTCCCTCTCTCTCTCTCTCTCTGCCTGCCTCTCTACTTGTGATCTCTCTCTGTCAAATAAATAAATAAAATCTTTTAAAAAAAAAAAAAAAGAATGGCCATCCATAGAGAGCAAGCAGCTCCCTGATGGTCAACGGAGAGCTGCCTGCCAGGCACAGTCCCAGGGGCAACGGAATCCCGCTGCTCCTTCTGTAGTTCCGGACTCAGCCCTGGAAAGAGGCTTCCGTGCTCAGAGCATTCCCCAGGCAGCAGTCCCATGTAAGCCATTTTTGTTTTCTCAGGGCACGCTGCTGGGCACTGCCCTCCTGAGAGTGTCTCTCTATCATGGGTGACAACAGGTGCCAAGACAACATGGGTGTAACAGGTGCCAAGATCATTTTTTTAAGGTTCTTTTTATTTATTATTTGACAGACAGAGATCACAAGTAGGCAGAGAGGCAGGCAGAGAGATAGAGGGGGAAGCAGGCTCCCACCAAGCAGAAAGCCCAATGTGGGGCTCGATCCCAGGACCCTGGGACCATGACCTGAGCCGAAGGCAGAGGCTTAACCCACTGAGCCACCCAGGAGCCCCGCCAAGATCATTTTAAGTCCTTCCCTCACCAGGGTAACTTCACTCTATGTCGGGAGCAAGGTAGTAAATACCCGTTAAATGGAGGATTCTGTAGTCCGAAGTCCCAGTGGTTGTCGCTGGGGGGCGCTCACAGGCTTGTGCCCGTCTGCACTCCACAGGGGCCAGAACACAGAGAGTCGCGCCTCCCACCCCCATTAGCTGGAGGAAACATTCCCCAGTGGGGCACATTGCCCATCCCCAAAGTACAATCTGCCTTAAGAGACTCAACCATCTCATGTAACACCTGTTCCAACATACCAGTTCTCCGACTTTTACCTTAATTCCACCAACCCTCACATTCCTGACTGGTAATCTCTGTTTAGTACTTAACCCACTCAGGGCAAAACCGAGAGGTTTTGGTTGTACAATACAAAGGTGGGGGCGTGTTTCCTAATGTGACATAATATCCACTTGCATAAAACAGTACGTAAAGGAGACACAACCTCCTGCCAGCAGGCCCGCCCGAACATTCCAACTTGCACCGTTTTACCAACGCTGACATTCTTACCTCCCATCTAATCGTAGCCCAAGTCAGGGCTTCGCCAGTGGTCGGTGGCAAAGTGCACGGGGCTCCTAGGTCAAGGAGTCCGGAAACTTCTCTTCTCCATCCCGGATCACTCATGCCAAAGGCCTTGGATCAGGGAAGATCCTGGGGAAATGGTGGAGGAAGCAGCACTGGGAATTGTCTCCCCACCAGACAACAAGTGCGCTAACAGAACCTCCAGGAACCACTTCAGAACTCTAGAGTCCTGCGGAAGGCTTACACCTTCTGGGGGAGGCTCTGGGAGGCAGACTGCCGTGGATTTCAGCTTTTAGCACAGTAGCAGCACTCTCCAAGCCGAGCCCCACACAGGAAGCCACGCTGCAGCTCGTGGGAACTAGGGTGGACAAAAGGGACCCTGTCCTCCAGATATCAGGAATTTCAGCCCAGAGATGCACAGAGGTGGGCAGCCACTGCTGTCCCCCACCCACTGTGGTGAGCCCCTGTCTCTCTTGCCGAGGTGACTACCAGGGGATTTGAAGGGCCAGTGCCTTAAGCCCCCCTCATTGTCCACTTTTCCGCTTTCGGGAGCCAGACATTAAAAACTAGAACATTTGCAGTCAAATGCTCTACTACTGGGCTATACCCCCCAAAACTAGAACATTTGAAACCACTGCATATAATGGAGACAGAAAATAGAGTAGCATGGTGGTTACCAGGGGCTGGGCTCGCGGGCGAAGGAACTGGGGAGATGTGGTTTCAGTAGTAGGTCATGGAGATCTAAGATCCAGGACAGGCATTACAGTCAACACTCCCATGTCACATGCTTCAGAACT